GCGTTCTTGGACGCGTTGGAATCAACACGTTGAGCTCTTTCCAACAAGTCCTTAACCAAGTCAAGGCGTTTGGGGGTTGACCTAAATATGAAGGATTCCCCTACCGCCGAGGGCGAAGCGCCGAAGGCGGATTTTGCGCCTTGCGCCGAAGGGATCATACCTTCAGAGCTCGCAGGGAGGGTGGTGCCCTTCCTTGACGCTGCACCCAACTCCTAGATTCTACGAGTTCCCTCGAGAATCTCTGCGATCTTCCGAATTCACTCTATTTTGATGCACCGAAGGCTATTTACACTGCTGCCGTGGTACAGTTTTCCAAAAATGTTTTAATTTCCTCAAAATTACCAAAAGTGGGGTACCACAATACTTGAGCAGTTCTGACTTACACCTTCGGATGATTGTTCCTGTTTGCACTCCTTCGGGATTTTTCCCCCTAAATGCCAAAGTGAAGTTTTGTTACTTCGAATAAACCTTGGTTAACAATTCAGGTTGTACGTTGCTTGAGGCGCATTCGGGGGTAGTTTCTGCAGTATTTTTGGGAAGGACTAGTGCCAGAGAATTCAAACTCGTCAATAGATTGTTACGGTGTGACATTGGATCTTTTATCAGTGAGTTTCTCGGTTCGATTCCTCTATTCTCTGCGCGTTTTGTGAGTTGAGTGTGTTGTGCACCGCGTATGAGTGACTTCGGTTTGACGAAGGTACCGCATCCGAAGTAAGAAGTCCAACCCGGGTGCTCTCCTCTAGCACTCAGAGTTAACAATCCTGACTTGGGGAACACTACCTGCAGATCCTCTGAATGTACTTGTGAGAAACTTTCCGCCTGAACCTTGAGTGGAGGTCCTAATCAACCTCTTAGTTGTGCTTTTCCAGTTTCAGGTGTGTGTTGGGGTGATCTACGCTGCAGTGTGAGTCCTCTGAGTGACCTCCGAGTTGAGCACTTGCAGTAATTCTGGGAGTGACAGTCGCTGAGAATTCAAACTCTTCAATAGTCTGTTAAAACGTGACATTTAGTACTCTGTGTGTTGCCTCTGTCCCTGTGGGTTCGACCTTTTTGCTGTTATACTGCAGTTTTAGCCTTTGGTGGGTTATGACAGTCATGTTATTTGGTATGATGCAGATTGTGTTTAATTAAGTCGGTGCTGCAAAAGCAAGTGTAGTTGAAACATTCTAAATGCTATGCATGTAGAGAATAAGATCCAATAAAATTAATGTGTCTCGTAGTGACTAGTAAGTTTCACCATAGACCTAAAAACATGGATGCATGCTTCCAGTCGGTCAAAGAACTGGCTGCAGTCATAAATTTCTATTGCGTATATTGCCGAACTAGAGATATGGCTGCTACTCTATTGACCAAGAGCTTGATAGCGTATGTCTTGTTATCAAGAAATGTATGCAATGGAATAGAGAATTTGGAAGTTGAGGGAGAGTGTAGGTGTTGTGTGAAAACATAACACCGATTTCTTATTTATTCAACTACAAGTAGGATAGTTAGAACCTTGGGTTTAGGACCCTACACCTGCAAGATGCATACAAAAAGTATGTATTCTCCTCTTGTTGGATCTCACTGTCAATGATTGCAGATATTTTTTTAGTCTTAGTGTGCACTTCCTTCTCCACCTGTTCATGACTGTACACAAGTCCGACAATTATTTCATGTACCACCTTGATTCTTCGTTAAAAGATTCAACAATTAATTCCTAGTACTAAATTGCATGCAACTTTTAAATGATTTATTATTAACAATGTTCAATGTGCATTTTGAATCTTAACTGACATTTGATGGAATACTTCTCACTTCCCAAACATGATCATTAAATAGAGCATGAGATGTTAAGTACTGCATGATTTTATCAAACAATGTGATTGTTTTCAAACCTCAAGTAATATATTGTTTTGTAACATCAACGCTCAATTTGCCATATTGGATTTTCTTTCTTCAACCGTCAAATTGCACTCAATTCATTTCTTTGCATATAATGTTCTAGAAAAATATTATCTTACGAGAACTTGTCATAATATGATTACAAGATAAAAGAGAAATAGAAAGAAATCAGAATTTCAAATTACACTTGCACTTAAAAGATGTAGTCACAAGTTTCTTTGTATAGAATAAAGAGACTTATTTTTAGTATACCTTCAACTAAACTTTTTATTTCTCGTCTATTTTCAATATTTTCAATAATTTTTGTAGATTTTGATATATTTTTTGAATAATTTAGAAATAATCATTTGAAAATTTCCAATTATAGATAGTAGTGGTGACAATAAACTCAAAATAAAAATTGTATATAAGGTTCAAGATATACATATCATATTTGTTTTCAATCACGGTGAAGGTTAGATTCATAGATTTAATTACATATTTGTCTAAAATCACGTAGATAATTGCAACCAACTTTTGTATAATCAGACCAATTTGCATATGAATAAATTGAATAATGTAGTACAACACTATTTTAATGTTGTTTGCACTTATGATTGAAATTGAAAATTCTCACTTTTTATTTAACTCAAATGGGATATTCTTCAAACTTATACCAACCACTGCACTGATTTTTTCTACCAAAGGCTGCCTCTTAGATTACATTAGATTGGACTTCCCGGTAATGAATTGAATACTTCTTACACGAACTTAGACCCAGAAAGGTGTACTCATGGATGTCTTTGTCCAATTGTTCGGATGCTGAATATTAATCGATATCTTAGGAAAGAGCGTGATCAAACTTATGGATTTACAGCAGGCCTCCTAAGACTTGGCATACGCCACATTTACCGAATATAGGTTAGATTCGACGTCCAAAAATCTTAAATATCGGCAACCACGATTAAAAAGTAGCAAAGAATATATTTTTACTCGATTTTATTCAACTTCATGAAAAAAATGGCAGCATATCTGGCATCCTTTCATTAGAACGGATGAGTAATTTTCATTTCCATCCCTATATTACTTTGTTTTGTTCATCATGGCATATCGAAAGTAATCATTCTCACATTTTAATATGCTGAAATGGGATTCAAAATGTATTTGCAAAAACGCTCGCCAATCCATCACAAAACATTTGTTGCATTGCAAATGTTTTGTGGTGGATTGAAAGACGTGGTGTGGTACTGTTTATATATAATTCACGTTGGGAAGCTTTGAACGGTCCTTGTTGATATTTCTCTGTACAGTTTCTCTAATCAAATCTTTTTTCATGTCAACGAAGCTTTCTTTGAAGAGTTTTAGGTATTCCAAAGTTTGGGCACCCGTTATATCTTCGTGCTGTCTTAAAAGAATTAAATAGTCTTAAACCTTGTCGGACCAAGACTTAGCAAACTGTGCTAGATATTTAGAAAAAAAATTTGCAAAGTGAGACTTGGATCTTCGTGCTGTCTTAAAGAATTAAATAGACTTAAACCTTGTCGGACTAAGACTTAGCCATCTGTGCTAGACATTTAGAAAAAAAAAATTGCAAAGTGAGACTTGGATCTTCGGGCTGTCTTAAAGAATTAAATAGACTTAATTAAACCTTGTCGGACCATGACTTAGCAAACTGTGGTAGATATTTAGAAAAATTTTTGCAAAGTGAGACTTGGATCTTCGTGCCGTCTTAAAGAATTAAGTAGACTTAGACTTTGTCGGACCAAGACTTAGCAATCTGTGCTACATATTTAGAAAAAAATTTGCAAATAGACGTGGACCTTCGGGCTGTCTTAAAAAATTAAATAGACTTAAACCTTGTCGGACCAAGACTTAGTGAGACTTGGCAAAGACAAAATGAGACTTGGGTTTGCGTAAGAATGTGTAAATGTGACTTCTAAAAATAGAATGCCACATTTAGAAGTCTTCATTCACAGTGAACTAAAGAGTACTAGCTTGGGGCTCTGGATATTATATGGGATCTGATAGATCTGAATCCTTTAAAAATGATTTGCAAGAACGAAAACCAGATACATACGACTTGATTTCATGCACTGTGTTCAATGTACTCCATAACATGCGCATTATGTTCTTACGCTGAGTGATGGCACTGCTCCCAGTTTCAGGGGGCGACGGAGAAATCTAGCACGGCTCTCACGTCTTGCTTTTCAAATTCCGCTTTCTGAAGCATGGTAGCGGTAGTGGACTCTACGCATAGACCTCAGCGATGGTAGCCAGGAAAAACGACAACAGTGCTGAGTCCTGAGGACAGCATCATAAATTAGAAGCACTTTTCCTTGACAGAGAGGGCTCATCCTCATACCCAGTTGCCCAATAATGGCTATGACAAAGATCCATGACCATTACGGCTCACGAAGGGCTTGAAACGCCAATGCACCGAACGACAAAATGAGTCGATGTTTTCCATCGTCGAGAGACTCGAGGCTTGATTAAACGGTACACAATTGGAAGGCCGATCGGTTCGTGGGATCAGATCTTGCCACAAGCGCGGAGAATTGGAGTAGGATGTCTACGTGTGGCCCGCATCAGATCGGATCAGGCTGAGCCATGCAGAAATTCAACGAGGTGTTGAAACTGATTTGGTCACGAATGCGGGTGAAAATGATTAAGATACATCCCCAGGAACAGTGAAACAGAAACAGGAAGAAACCGAGTTTTGACCGTACAAATGTATGCAGGAACAATGGATGAACCTTCCACTGGCCAGATCTAGCGGCCAGCCACTTGCAAGAGGACCGAGATGGAGATCGATGCCGACATCTCCTTCTTTAAAACATCTCATCTTCGCTCTAGATATTCGCTCACCATCTTTGGAAAGCTGAAGTTTTGACCAACTTCCTGCACTCCTGAAGTTGCGGTTGGCTCCACCGTTGACATGTTCGCCCACCGCATCTTTTTTATCCCGGCCTGCAGATGCTGAATCAGACCATATCCATTCGGTCTCGATCGATCGAGACCGAAAGGTCCACTGCTTGCTCGACATCTATGAAACCGCATCCAAGGTCCATGGCTCCCCACCCTGGTCAAACGCTTTTATCAGCCTGGTCTTTCTCTCTCCCTCGCTCCAGAACGTATATAAACAAGTCCCCAACTTGTAGACATATTAACATCCTCACCTTCAGGGCAAAATCGTGCTATAGACTCAGCAGCTCGTGCTTCGGTGAGTTCCATAAAATACTCAAATTTGGCTCGTTTTCCTCGAAAACTTCGAGGATATGATTTTCTATTTGCAGTCGAAAGTTCAGATCATTTGTGCATGTTGTTGCAAGTGATTGAGTAAGTAACCTTCGATTTGAAGTTACTCACACTCAGTCGTAGGGCTCTTCGTGTGAATGTCAATGGCACCCATCATGACATTGAATGAAGGATTGATTGACGATGTGTTCATAACCAGCTGCTCGATATATTTTGCAGTGAACTCAATTGACGATTGAACTCAATTCAACTGCTGGCCCGATGGCCACCACCACCACCACGCTCACGAAGCTCGCGCTGTCTCTGACTCTGGTGCACGCAGTGTGTGCGAGCAGGCAGATTCTGCAAGCGTGCGCAGGCGTGTCGCAGTATATTATAGCGCCTTCGTACAAGTGGCCGGACTGCTCGATCACGACCCCGAGCTGCCCATGGTACTCGTTCTCGAACGGCGCGGACATCGTCATCATAAATCCGAACAGCGGGCCCGGGACGAGTGCGAGCCCGGAGTTCGAGACTTTGGTCAGCGATATCAGAGCTTCGAATGACACGTACATCACCACCATTCTGGGCTACGTGCCCACGAATTATGGAGCCAAGAGCGAGGCCGCCGTCAATGCCGAGACCGACCTGTACAACTCTTTTTACAACGTGGACGGCATTTTCTTCGACGAGGCGTCCATAAACTGCAGCTTAACGTCGTACTACAGCAACATAGTGAAACATGTGCAGGACACGACCATGTCGCCCACTGGCCAGGATTACACCATTCTCAACTGGGGCACCAATGGGCCCGAATGCTTCCTCCAGACCACGTCGGGCAATGTCCCCGCCGACAACTTCGTCACCTTCGAGAGTGAGTCCTGCCGTCGATGGATTGGAATGGAATCGAATGTTATTCATTTTCGAGCTCCTGTGAATGTGAATGAATGATGTGACGTGATGTTTCTGTCGTGCAGATTCTCACGCGAGCTATGCGTCGTACGCTCCCCTCGCGTACATGGCCAACTATGACCCTGCACGCTTCTACCACATCGTGTACAACGTGACTGAAGCCAACCTCATCTCCACCATGACCAAATCGAAGCAGTCTCGCGCCGGCAGGGTCTATGTCACGAATGATGATCTGCCGAATCCCTACAACACTGCCCCGACGCCCTTCACCTCGTACTGGCAAGCCGAGGTCGAGAAGGCGGCCGCCTCGTGCTGATCTCGAGCGCCTTCTGTCGTTGCTTGTAGCCGAATCTCATCAGCTGCATGCACTTTAGGTCGTAGCAATTTTCGGTGTCTTCCACTTCGATCGGCTAGTAATAGATACACAAAATTATTGCGATACGGCCCGATTAGATTTAGATTACCTAAATTAGTTTCATTTAGTCGTACCAGGATACCTTCGTTAAGGATGTGAGTAAATGTGAATTTTATTTATTTAACATCTCTAGTGTAAATTATTGCTCGAATTGTTCAATGAACATCGTCCATGCAACCGGCATTCCAAAATCCGCCCAAATGTCCCTGCAGACTCCAATTCAACCATGTATGGCAAACTCCATATGGCATATAAACACCCTCGGCATACCTATCCGCAACTGCTTAAATGCATCCTTGGAATTTGGAATCTGCTATGAACAGTAAACAGTTTCTCTTCATTGATAACACATTAAGATGATCTTCAAAGTCACCTATTGGACTTGAATCCTTACCATGTATGTAATAATCTCCTTAGGGGTTTAAAATTCAATGATGTACTTGGGAATGATGATGGTTGTCCATGGCTCACCGCTATTCAAGAAGATGCCGATGAGCCTATGACCGAATTTTTTAATTATCTCCATCGATCAGATTTTTCATAGGCTACATATTATCAAAATGATTTTGGGGATTCTTTGGAAAGAAATTGATCATATAAATCTTTACATAGACTACATATCGGAAACAAGTAACACCACATATTCCTTTCAATCACATAAATATTATAGTGTCAAACTTATGAAGAAATGTTTTTTCCCGATTCCACTGTACCTGTCATCGGAACAAAAGAGTAATAGAAAGAAACAAATATTCCTAATACTTAAAAGATTTGCTTTCAAAGGAACTGAAGACCACACTTGTATTCAGAATTGAAAGTATGAGCTGTGTTTTTCTTACTGCTTCAATCACTGTCAAAAATGTTTCACAAGCTGATATTTGAATAATCGAACAAACCGAACATACATTAGATTCAGATGACACGAACTAATGGAAAAGAGCCATCTTGTTATTTACAATATGAGAACATGAAGGTGAAATTGAGAAGTCCTCATGATCCACTAATTCTATCTTGCTAGTGTATGTAGGTATTGCTGCAGATCTTGGTAGATCCAGGACTGAAAACTTCAATAATTTGTTTCCAACATGAACTGAATAGAGTGCGAATCACCAAGCAAGGTTTCATGTTGGATTAAGAAGCAAAAGAAGACGGTGATCTTCAGTCAGAATATGATGGAAGGGATCGATTCCGGGGCTGGGATCCCTTGGGCTCCGCTTAGGTAGGTATCATACTATTTTTCCAATGATTCACGCTGGCTTCTAGCCCTTGTGTTGGGATATGTACGTTGTTCACGAGGGTCTGAACCCAGACCTGGGTCAAGGAAATTAAAATACAAGCAGCTTCTCTAGCTCCTGTTTCACAGTCGCTACAAATGGGGTTTGACAAACAACAAATGAAATACAACAATTGCTATGTAGAATTTTGTAGACTTTGCCACGACCAACAATAGCGCTCTATTTGTGCTGCAAGGCACTGTTTGAAAAGTTTAATTCCATGCAAGGATACGGAGAAATGCTTGAAAGTAAACCCTAATGCTGCAAACCTTCAATGCAGCGCAGTAGAAGCTAACTTGTACAGCATATCATGGCCCAATAGGTCATTATAAAAATCTGACCCGGCTGTAAATGTGAGGACTCTTCAGCGCCAGTCGCAGTACTTACCAAATATCCGGACAATGTACGCCACTCTGACATGGACCATCAAAGTTGACCAAATGGTGAATGAGCTTTGCAGCAGAATATTACAACGTGTGAAGAACAGTACTTGCGCCGGGATTTGAATGAAATGTCAAAGTCCGAATCGGTCGTATTATATCTTAGTCGAGTCCATACTGTATTCGATACCCGTCAGGGAAACAACCTTCTTTGCGGAGATCTACTTGTGTCAGACTTCGCGAAGTCAGGAGTGCAGTTTACACGCCTTGAAGGTCATGATCAGACAGTATGAAGCAGGTTGGTATCATTTCCAAACACAAAACAAGTTCCAATGAAGCAAGTACCGAGTTTCAATCCTTAAAAGATCAAAGAAATCACTCTTTTGTTTCCAGAGTTGGGTCCCAGAAAAAGATTCCACATTTCACATAAGGGGAACACCAATCTAAAGTTCGAGCTAACGAGATTGATCTCACTATGGCTGATTACAATGATGTTTTCGGCGATGATGATTGTCCCCCGTGGCTTACAGCCAGTCAAGAAACCAAAGGTAACCCCAGTCAATTGATCAGCAGTCTCCTTCCCAACCAGGTGCCTATTGTTGATTTCACAGGAGACTTCGTTCGCAAGCAATCTCCTGTCTACATACTACTTTAAGGAGCGCACGTGTATAAAGCTCGCATTCTTGGCTAGATACTAAAGGGGTTGTCATAGATTCTTCTGCCACGTTGCGAGGCCATGATGGAGACATAATCCTCGGCAATGGGGTTGATCCGGATCAACCCAGACGAACATATGTTCCTTTTGGCAGTCATAAAAAATGAGGCGAACGGGCTACTACTCCTATGCTGACCTCGATATGGAAGTATTATCTGCTTTGGAGGTGCAAAGATGGATACATGGAGCCACAGCATATCAAACTTACGGTGGAATGGTACATTTCGGAGAATCCTCGTACAACGATGATAACAATGACTGCACATTCAACATGTTGTTTGAGGTAGATTCTTGTTGCTGTTTGTTCGTGCTCCTTGGATTTATTTGATTTATTATGGATTTTAAAGGAGAACAAAAGGAGAAACGACTGAAGGTTCCTTGGAATCAAGGCCAGCGCAGCTGTCGAAACTGGAACTCCTGATCGTGCATGAGGCATTCATCAGTGTGGTTGGCTGTGGTATTTCTTAGGCACAGCCCTCATGATCATGCTATTCTTTGTCTGCAAAAGGAAAGAAGCAGGATCAGCACAGTCTGCAGGCAGCAGGAAAATAATTCCGACCTGCAAGCTCAGAGGCGAGTTACAACCAAAAATTATATTCGTCGCACTAATGAGCATGATTGAAAGAATTTTAAGCGTCATGATGATGACGGTGAGTCAGAATCCTTAGGATAAGTAATAGCAGGTTTACGGTCAAAGGAGGGCCAATACCTTCTCGTGCACGAAGTATATAACGGTGTCTTTAACTATGGTGACCTTTAGATTACAGCTCTTCTATGTCTGAAACAAAAAATGACTTGAAGAACAAGCTCTATTAGCATTCACTGCAGAGAATTAGTCCCAGATCGTAAGCTCAGATTCGAGTTCCAGTCAAGAGATGAATTTTATCGCAGTTTTGAGCAGAGCGTAAAAGGTTTGAGACTGATATGAACGATTGAAAGTGTGAAATCTAGACTTTCAAACAGTTTTTGACGAGTGAAATCATCCATGGATTTAATCTACGTTCATAAATAAATATGTCTTCTTTGTTACTCCTTACTTATAAATGGGATATAAAAGCTCACTCTGAGACAATCTTGACAAAACATACTCCCTAATTTGTATGTTTTAAGGAAGATTCATTTATTTCTTGCCATGAAGCAGTAGTGGGTGAATAGTGGGTGAATTCTAGAGGATATAAATCACTATTAAAACTTAATAATGTAGAAGTATGTACCAGCGCTACACAATGAACTAAGTACAGAGCTTAAAATTGTAGAGTTCGTTTGCAAGATAAAGTAAAAAATATATATATGAAGACAATATGAGTTATAATTCTTTTGCAAAAAAATATATATATAAATCATAAAATTATGATTCTTTTATTGCTATGATTTTGGAATTCAAAAGAGATGAGTGAAATTACACGTCCAATGTGATGAGATGTCATGAAACTTCACCTTTAACGTTGCCAAACATATGTCTGACAAGAATTCAATAAAATAAATTTGAAGAATTCTTGATAAAGCAAATGAGTAATCCGTTTCAAAAGTATAACGTGGAGAGTAAATAAGAAGAACTTCCCATGAGTAAAAACCTCATTCAAATCTTGTAGCATAGACTTTTTAACTTCTTAAATAATTATATTGTGGTAGAAGTGAATTATATTCACTTCTACCAGTGGGCGTAGCCCTTGAGACAGTGGGCGACACGCCTCGCCATCTCCTCTTTCGTGCGATTTGCCTCTCGCCTGCGATCATCTTCAATTACCACCAACTGCGATTCGGCCTCCGCACGCTGCGCTCTCAATTCCCCGCACTCCGACTGTAGCCTGCGGATTAAATCCTCATCCGCCTGCCGTGCGAGCTGACACTCCACCAACAACCGCGTCTGTCGCACGAGCTCCTCTGACAGAATCTGATTCTGAGTTTTCTCAGAAATCAAATCTGTCGTGGTCTTCACCACATCCCTGGTGAGCTCTTCCAGTCTCTCCTTCTTCATCCTGTCGAGGGCGTGCGATTTCCTCACAAGGTTGTACTGATGTAATAACCCACTAAAGGCTAAAACTGCAATATAGTGGTAGAAAGGTCGAACCCACAGGGACAGAGGAACACACAGGGTACAAAGTGTCACGTTTAACAGACTATTGAGGAGTTTGAATTCTCAGGCGACTGTCACTCCCAGAAATACTGCAAGTGTCCACTCGGAGCGCACTCGGAGGTCGCACGGTGCAGCGTAACACACACACACACACCTGAAACTACAGAAACACAACCCAGAGATCCGTTAGGACCTCTACTCAAGATTTCAGGGGGAAAGTCTCTCGCGAGCACCCTCAACGAAGCTGCGGGTAGTGACTTCCAACTCCGGCTTTTACAACACTTCCACTAGCTTGCTGCTAGTGTAGGAAACCCGGTTTGGACTGCCTAATTCGGATCGAAGTCACTCATACGCGGTGAACAACACTCTCAACTCACAAAACGCGCAGAGAACACAGGTCCGCACTGAAGTACTCACTGAGAAACATTCCAGTAACACAATAACAGTCTATTGAAGAGTTTGAATTCTCAGACACTTGTCATTCCCAGAAATACTACAGGGGTTACCCCAAAGGCACCTGCTGCAGCGTAACCTGAATTTACAACCAAGGCTTACACGAAGTAACAAAACTTCACTATGGCATTCAGGGGAAAAATCCCGAAGGAGTACAACCAGGAAGAAACACTCGAAGGTGTAGGGCCGAAACTATTCAAGTATCTAACTAGTCACTGGCTCTAAGCATCGGCAATCACCCGCAGGTGTAAATCCGAACTACTCAAGTCTC